AGAAGATAGCATAAGGAGAGAGGTTGTTTCAGGTAGGGAAGTGGGAAGATCAGAACTATGGTCATAGACTTGGGAGAAATATTTAGCAAAGAGATTAGCAATGTCATGGCCATTAGATGAAGATTCATTTCCTAAACGCATGAAAGAGGGCATGGCCTTAGAAGTGTTGACAGAATTCACATAATTCCAAAACTTTTTAGTATTAGATTGGATTGAGTTTTCTGTATCAAAAAGATAATTCTTATAGCAAATATTCGACAGTGTTTTACATTGGACTCTAAGAGATGAAAATTTTGAATAATAATAATTATCAAGAGTTTGCTTGTACAATGAATGATTCATCGTTTTTTGCTTGACTTTTTCAATAAGTTCTGGACAAAAGACTATATTCTTGATCTTCTAGTTATCTTACACATAACTAAATAATCATTAATTAATGGTCACTAAATACCACACATAACTAAATAATCTTTCTTAAAATAAATCTTAAGCCCCTAGCATAGATTTTTTTACATTTGATGCGAATAGAATGTCAGCCTATTTGTTAAATTATATTACAACAAAAATGCAATAAAATCAAACAAATTTCTCTTATAAATAAAGGGAAAACAGATTTAATAAGAGTTTACATGAAAGTTTAATATTTTAACCATTTGAGCTGACTATGGGAGTCCATAGCAGAAAAGCTTTCAATACATGACCCAAAATAAATCAATAACCGAATTATATAATAATTAAATCTATTAATAAAATGACTATTTGCCATGAAATTCATTAAAAAAACAGAAACCGAGACTGTTTTAAACTTAATAAATGACAAAAAAATGAAAAAAATAGTTTTTTGAAGGAAGAAAATTTGTGATTTTGACTCGCTCACCGTCAGAGGGCAAAAATGTCATTTCCCACCTACTGGTAGATCTTACAATTTTCCCACAAATTAATTTAGAAAAACGTTGACATGTTTAATAATAGAATAAACAGAAAAAAAAAAAAAAGAAGCATAACGTACTACTTTCAGGAGATTGTTAATCAAGCTGGCATAATCTGATAGCTCCTC